GGGAAACATCTGGGTGAAGATGAACCAAGCCTGATTTTATACAACTTATGTTTCATGTTTCTTGTAAATCTAGTTCCTTTTCAGCAGTGTCTAAAAATAAATATCTCTTTAAGTGTGTGCTGATAGTTCAAATATTAAGTAGACTTATTCGCATTCCTTGGCATCATAAATGTTAAGGAGAGAAATGGTGAATGTCATTTCAAGTCACTCTTTTGTGCATATTCATTCTTTTTTAGCAAAATTAGTTCTATGGCTGTGATCCAAGTATGGTGGGTCCTGAATCTCTCAGCAAACCTGAAATTGCTCCAGATGAGATCTTTGTATTTGAATTGAAGAGATGAAAGGGTTTCTCCCTTATTTCTCTCAATTTAAAAATAATCTGACTTCTGTCTTTCTTTTCTTATTAGCAATGGCCTTTTAAATATATATATATATATAGTTATTAAGTGCTGTCGAGTCAGTTCCGACTCATAGCGACCCTGTGAAGGGTTTCTGAGGCTATAAATCTTCAATGGAGCAGAAAGTCTTATCTTTCTCCAGGAGCGGATGGTGGGGTTGAACTGCCCACCTTGTGATTTGCAGTAGAGTCTTTATCCTACAGAGCCATCTGTAGCGTTAGAAAAAGAGACTGGAGGAATGCTGAGATTTCAGGAAGACATATGACAGTATCTCTCATGAATTCCTTGAAGGTGATATAGAGACAAGTTAGATGCTCTTATTAGAAGGCTTTGTTGTTGGTTGGTAGTGGTTGCCTTGGATGGTAACCCTTTGTGTGTTGAGCAGACTGTTCTCTAGGGTTTTTAAGGCTGCCATCTCTTAGAAGCAGATCACTAGGCATTACTTCTGAATAATCTTTTGGTGGGTTAGAATTACCAACCTTTCAGCTAGTAGTCAAGTCCTTAACTGGTGGTGCCAGATGCTTGAAAAACCTAGCCCAGAGTATTTGGTATGATTTACTGTTGTGGCACTGTGGATTAATGCGCCAGACTGCAGAGCCATTTGGGCAGTTCAAGCTCACCAGCTGCTCCTTGGAAACACTATACAGTGTCTCTATGGGTTGGAACTGACTCGATGGCACTACACAACAACAACAACAACTGTTATCTTAAGGAACCCTGGAGTCCTGGTGTGGGTTAATGCGCTGGACTGCAGAGTTGGTTTGAACCACAGGGTCGGCAGTTCAGGCTCACCAGCTGCTTCTCGGAAACCGTATACAGAGCCGCTATGGGTTGGAGCCGACTCCATGGCACATAACAACAATAACAACGGAACCTTGGTGTGGCGTGGCGCTGTAGGATAAATGCAGGATTGCAAGGTCGGTTTGAACTGCAAAGTTGCAGTTGAAACTCACCAGTTGCACCTTGGAACCCTATAGAGGGTTGATAGGAGTTGGAACCGACTTAACAACAACGAAGGAGCCCTGGTATGGCACTGTAGGAAAAGCACTGGACTGCTAACCGCAGGGTAGGTGGTTCAAACCCACCAGTGGCTCCTCGGAAACTCTATACAGGATTGCTATGAGTCAGAACCCACTCAATAGCACTTAACAACAACAAAAGATGAGCACTCAGATGCCACGAGGCAGGGTCTGCCCTCATACTCACATTGTTCACTTTTTTCATTTCAGTGATGGGGTGGAATCTGCCAGGAAATAGATGCTTGCTCAATAGAAGGATGGTGTTTGATTAATTAGTGTTGTCAAAATTGAAACCGTCTGCCCTGCAAAATAGTGTGTTCCCATAACTGGAAGTATTTAAGTAGCGCCTTAATGACCATCTGTTAGAGATGTTCTAGAAAGGGCTCCTGCTAGGGAGGGAGGTTGAACTAAATTATGTTTAAATTCTTTTCTAATCCTAAGATTCGATTATAGTTGTGTGTTGCTCAGTCAGTTCCAGCTCATAGTGACCATGTAGGACAGGGTTAAAACTTCCCCATAGCGTTTCCAAGACTGGTTTGGCACTGTGGGATCAGCACTGCACTGCGAACCACACGGTGGCAATTCAGATCTACTAGCTGCTCCTCGGAAACCCTATATAGGGTCACTAAGAGTTGGAACTGACTCCACGACACTTAAAAACAACAATAGTCTTTACAGCAACAGACTGCCACATCTTTCTCACGCAGCAGTGGGTGGGTCTGAACTTTTCGGTCATCAGCCAGTTAGCTGGGGACCCTTACAATTTTATTACTCAACATATTTGGCTCTAATAAGATCAGCAAAAATTTTTTCTTGAGATTTCATGTCAATCACTGATTTACAAAATTAGAAGCCTAGACTTTATCTCCTCCTGAGCTTTTCAGATGCCCCCCAGGCCTGTGATGGTACCAGGGATAAGTATGCCCATTGACACGCCTTTAGACCTGTGAAACTTTCAAATAAATGTGTGAACATTTGTGAGAAAGGACAATCAACAAGTTATACTTTGATTCCTTCTTTAAACGGCAGCCTAAAAGTAAGCAATAGAGAAAGGAAGACTTGAGATAGAATACAAATGCTCAACAGAGCAAATTGTTTTATTTATTTTTCTGTTGTTGGTCAAACAAAGCAACCCCTGGATAAATTTAAACCACCAGTGAATCTCTAGGTCATTAAGCTGCTGTTTGGTTTGATTTGATTTGTAACAAATTGTTAAATTCCTAGCATCAGTAATCTCATTAAAAAAAAAAAAATTTGAAGACAAAGGATATGGATTTCTTGAAAGTTTGAACCAAGCTTCTGTAATGGGTGTTGTTGTTGTTATGTGCTGTGGAGTCGGTTCCGACTCAAAGCGACCCTGTCCAGGGTTTCCGAGGCTGTAAATCTTTACGGGAGCAGAAAGTCTCATCTTTCTCCCGTGGAACAGCTGGTAGTTTTGAACTGCTGACCCTGAGATTAGCAGCCCGATTCGTAACCACTATGCTTCCAGAAGTCCTTTATGGTAAGGTTGGGGGGGGGGGGGGAATCACATGAGCAATAGAAGGGGAACCTGACTTTTTGGTTCAACTAAGCCTATGCTGCCTCCACTGAAACCCAAACAGAGGCTGTATGCTCTGGACCTAAACTTGGGGTGCTGAGGAAGGGGCTTCATATCTCTCCATCTCCCCAAGAAGGCTATAGAAGACAGAATCATAAGATCTCTATACTGGCAGGGAGGCAACTTCTGGGGTGATGAACTATTGGATACCTTTATGGGATCTAAGAACATGAGAATCCAGTTAACAGTGTTATTAATAACTATATGTGAAACATTTCAAGCATACAGAGTATGTTAAGAATAGTGTAACAAAGTCTACATATGCACCATGTCCAAACTTAAGAAAGAAGACATTAGCAACACAAATGAATACCCTCATACAACTTCCTGATCTTCTCCTTCCTCCTCTCAGAGGCAACCGGGGTCCTTCATTTCATGATACTTAATTTTTCAGATAAGGAAGATTCTTTAACATTGCAGATTGGTTGTTGTTGTTAAGTACTGTGGAGTCGGTTCCGACTCATAGTGAACCTGCACAGGGTTTCTGAGGCTGTAAATCTTTATGGGAGCAGAATGCCTCATCTTTCTCCCGCGGAGCTGCTGGTAGTTTTGAACTGCCGACCTTGAGGTTAGCAGTCCGATTTGTAACCACTGTGCTACCAGAGCTCCAGATTGGTAGGGGCCACAAAACACCCTTTCCTTTTTTTCCCAGTAAGACAGGTCACTGTTAGTAAATTTACACTGTTTCTCAGTCTTCGGGGTACAACCAGGTTTGTATTATATATGATGTTGTTGTTAAGTGCCGTCAAGTCGGTTTCAACTCATAGCGACCCTCTATAGGGTTTCTGAGGAGCAGCTGATGAGTTTGGACTTTTGTGGCCACTATTAGCCATCGAAAACCATATGCCACACACTTCTACTCTTGACAGGCATGGGGTTGCCATGAATCTGGATGGCACCTGGTTTGAGCTATGTAGCTTTGCAGAATAAGTGATGGAGAATTGAAGGGAAGGACTTTTACCAGCACTCATTTGTTTGGAATCTTGAGCAGGTACGGTGAAGCATAAGCTTGTGCCATTGAAGCTTTGGGACAGCCAAGTGTTGAGAATCAAGATGGCAGTGGGCTGTCACAGTAGTGGCACTGAGCTACAAAGTGAAATAAAAGTAAAATGAAACTCCTTTCCTACCCAGGCAACTCCAAAGCCTTCAGAAAAATAATCGTGCTGAAATGGAAAATACCGCTTTACAGTGTTTTCCTTGAAAAGCTTCATCAAGCTGTTTGCATGACTTCCTGGGGGAAATGGAAGTAGTGTGATTGATATGCGTTTTCTGGTGTGTTAAGAACCTAGAGGAGCGAAGACATATTTTTGGAGCAAGTAAATTTTCATAAAAATAAGTCTGCAAACAAAATTACTTATCTCCTGATGCTAGAGTAATACATACTTTTGAAATTCTGGTGGAAGCACAGGTGCAGTTTCCCATTTTAATTTATAGATTTACTAACAGCCTACGCCTTATACCCTGCCCCTTTTTTTTTTCCCTCCCTTAAAAATAACAGCTAACAATTTTCACCTAGAACTCACAGTCATTTGGAAAGGTGGTATATTTGAAGAAAATTTGCATTAGATCATAAGACTTTCCACTAGACTTGATTTTATCTAGAAGTCTGGCATTAAATGTCCGTAGAAATAATCAAAAGCAAGCACTATATATAAAGAATGCTGCTGGGCTCTTTAGTATCTGAGTGATGATGAGCCAGCCATATTTCTGAGTGAACCCATCTATCAAATGAGCAGGGGGAAGTCAGGCTGTCCCTGTTTGCTCGCACATGTTCACTCATTGGAATGTCCACTTGTAGCTTGGTTGACTTGAGAGCTCAATATGTTGTTCACCAGTATTCTTTGTCTTTACTTTGTCTCTCCCACCCACGGTGTCAGGAACAATCTCTACCTCTTCACCCTCAAATTCTTTCTTGTTGTTCTAGAAATGATAAGAGCTGTTTAAGACCACCATATCAGACCTAGCATTATTGCTTTTGTTTTTCAGACTGTGTATTCTATGGCTCCATTCCCTTTCCCACAGTTGGCAGAGTTGAGGGAAAAATACACCTACAACATTACACCATTCCCAGCCACAGTGAAGGCCACTTCTGTTTCTGGGTAAGGTTTCTTTTTTTTTTGTCTTTGTTTTTATGATGGAAGATTTAGATCTAATACCTTAATTTATTATTACAAACTAATATTCCTTAAGCCCCTGAAATATATTAAGGTAATTTGGTATTTACAATCCAAATGTCTTTTTACTGGGAACTGGACTTAAAAATTCAAGGAGAGTACCAGTGCAATTATGACTTTTAAAAGTGTACTTTTCAAAGAAGTTGAACATGTTTAAGAACATATTTAAACTGAGGGGTTTAGTTAACAATACTTCAGCAAAATGACAGCAATTTATTTTAAGTTATCAAGTATTAAAAACTCAAAATAAAAATACTACGATGAAAAGACAGATGTTCTAGTTCAAAATAATGCAGTGACTAGAAATTGATCATCATAAGTATAAGAATTTAGCATATGAAAAAATGACATGTCAGCTCAGTGGGGAAAAGATATACTGTTAAGTAAATAGGTCAAAGAGACCTCATCAAGAAAGAGAATTAGAGTCAGACCTCACGCCATACACGGGGGTGACTTCCATATGGATGAAAGAGTTCAACTGGAAAGAATGAAATAGTAAAGCTAGCAGAAGAAAATGTGGAAGAATCCTTTTAGCACTTTGAAATTGGGAATGTCTTAAAAACTGACTCAACATTTTAAATAATGGACAAAAATATTAAGCATAAGTACATTAACACTGTTTCTGAAGGATCAAAAATAAAACAAAATGAAAAATTTCTTAAGCAAATTTTAAAATATTTGGGAAAAATACTCTACTATTGTGAATGATCTCACAGATATACTTGCATATGCACAAAACAGTATTAGGAAGTTATGTATTGCAGTGGTGTAATATTGGAGTCCAGGTGTGGTGCTGTGGGCTAATGTGCCAGACTGCACAGCCATTTGAACTGCAAGGTTGGCGGTTCAAACTCACCAACTGCTCCTCAGAAACCCTTTACAGGATCGCTATGGGTCAGAACTGACTCGATGACACTTAACAACAATAACAATATTTGAACCAGCTCAAGAATATGTCATTAGGGGCCTGATCTTACAACATGGGCTACATATGCGCAACACAGTGTGGCTATAAGAAAGGATGTATGAAGGGGAAAGGTTTCTTAGACTAAAGCAAAGTGCAGAAGAGTGTATAGGATGCTAACATCGATGTAAAAAGGCAAAAAAAGACTGTACAGTCATAGCGACTTATATGTATACAAAGAAACTGAAGAATAAACGGGGGCTTCAAGAAGTTGTGGAAAATGGAATTGAAAATACTGAAAATTTCCCCTTAACTGCTTAAAGTTCTCATTATATATCAAAAACTAGTAACAAGGATCACCTTGGGGAATTAAGTGGGGTGAAGACTGGGTAGAAGTTGGTCAGGCATAAAGAGATTTTATATAAAAATGTGTGTGTGTGTACACAATGAGGCTTCTAAGAGTTTATAGAAATATTGAATGAAAACATAATGGAATTTTCACCCTGAACTTTTTGAAGCCCCTTTCATGTGTGTGTGTATATATATGAACCCCCTATATATGTGTGTGTGTGTGTGTGTGTGTATATGTATATATATGTATATCATTGTGTATAGTGACCCCATGTGACAGAATAGGACTGCCCCATAGGGTTTTCTTGGCGGTAATGATTATGGAAGTATATTTCCAAATCTTTCTAGAGTTACTAAGTGGGTTGGAGTTGCTAACCTTTGTGGTTAGCAGTCAAAAATAACATTTGTGTGTGTGTATGTGTATGTTCACAAAGATATATATGTGTGTGTGTGTTTATATACATATATGTGTGTGTGTGTGTGGCATTTAAACCATGTAATTATATACTGAATTGTTTTAATACTGCTGTTTTCTTTGAATGTTTCTTTTTATTCTTTTATATTTTTCAAGACGACATGGTAGGGTCAGAGACAGTGATGAAGAGAATGACCCAGACGATGAAGATGCTATTGCTAATGCAGTGGGTTGCCTTGGACCTTTCAGTGGACTTCTGGCACCTGAACTGCAGAAGTACCAAAAGCAAATTAAAGGTAAATAGAGGTGATACTCCCTTGGTGTTAGTGCCCTATAACCACAGTATTATTATTCCTATTTGGTAGATATCTCAGATACCAGAGTGGTTATAGTATTACCACTAATAAAGGTATCTGCTACCTTATCATTTAGTAGGATATCTTTATGTTGCTGTTAGGTGCCATTGAGTCGGTGCCTGTATATTATAGGTTGTATGTTATATACATTGTTGTTGTTGTTAGGTGC